CACTAATTGTGAAAACTGTCTGCCACGTACTCTAGCAAAGAAGTTGCTTTCCGAAGAGACCAACAGGCATAGGGGGGATGAATGAGTTCTCCTGTGAATGGCCTACCCAGGCCAGCTGTTTTGGGTTGGGAAAACTCATCACTCTCAAGCTACAGCTTGGACTGCAGCCATGTCTTTAAGGGCACATGAGAAAGTTCCACTAAGGGCTCTGGTTTACTCCACGCAGAAAGCAGGTTGACTCGGTGAGACTGTTGCTGGTGCCTTCGGAATGGCAAAGAGTGACCTTCCATTTCTTGTGCGCCCAGGAGCCATTTCCCTTTGCCCTTCTCACACAGAGCTTGCTATTTCCTGCCCATCTACATCACACAACGTGTGCCGAGGGCGAAAGGTTTCACCTCCATCATTTCTGACATGCTTGCAAACAATGGATTTCAAGACTGAAGCAATCTCGGGAAATGATTCCTAGGCTCCTGCCCAGCCAGTGCATCAGCAAGAGTGCTACTGCTGCACAGCTTTCTCTCTCGTGTAAGAAAATCTTTTGTTGGGGATGAGTTTAAGAAAATGTCAAACTCTGTTTCTGCCCTTGGAGCACTAAAGTTGTACTTATGTAAGTATGATTAATAAAGTGCAGATGAGGCCACAAAAGTGTGCAAAATCTTCTATCACTAAGAGAAATATCTATATGTATCTATCTGGCTTGCATGGCCTACGGTCCACCAGGATGAATGACACCCCTCTCAGCCCACCAGCCAGTGATACATGGTGGCCTGCCAGGATCTTGACACTCCCTGCTCTTGTTTTTTTTATAGCCCCAGACAAGGAGTGGAAACGAAAGTACTAGGGAACCTGAAGTCTGTAATTCCCTGCTTGGAAATATGAGCCTCTGAGGGACTGAGAAGAGGAAGAAGAAGAGGAGGAGGAGACGGAGACTGGATTTATACCCCACCCTTCACTACACAAAGGAATCTCAGAGCGGCTTACAATCTGCTTCCCCTTCCCACAACAAACCCCCTGTGAGGTAGGTGGGGTTGAGAGAGCGCTTTTGAAAACTGCCCTTGAGAGAAAAAGCTCTGAAAGAACTTATGACTGATCCCAGGTCACACCAGCAGCTGCATGTGGAGCAGGGGGGAATCAAACCCGGTTCTCCCAGATTAGAGTCTGTGCTCTTAACCACTACACCAAACTGTGAAGAGTTCTGAGCATTTAAAGAACTAGAAAAATTATTAATAACAAGACAGCGCCAGTGCTAGTTAAGCAGGGTGAAGGCTCATGGAAAGCCCAGTACGCGCCTGCTTCCAGCTTTGGCATGGATTCTCTTTGGGAGACTGCCCAAGCTTGAGCCTAGGCATCTTCCAGAAGCAATTTGTAAAAAGATGTATAATTTAGCCAGGTTTTCAAAAAGTGTCTGGGGGAATTCACGGGGATATTTGAACTGTGCACATTTTTATCTGTATTTGGAATGGATTCCATCCTGTCACTTCACTTAGCTCCCTCCAGCTGAAGAGGCTCTTCCCTCCGGAGGAAGGCTCCACAGTTGGCTTAGGGGAGTAGTAGGATGAAACCCCTGACAAATACAGGTAAAATCTGCACAGCTAAAATGCCTTCGTAACTGTCCCCAGCCACAGGAAACCTTACTAAATAACATTAATAAACAACAATGGATCCAAAGTTTGTTTCATCAGCCTGGGTATCATGAGCAATTTTAAACAGTTATGATGACTGCACTGCTAGAGCCTTTCTTGATGTGTGCCTATGTGCCTCTTTTATGTTTCTCCACATGTTGCCAGGGGCCATGGTCACTGAGAGGTTAAGACGCTGAGCTGCAGACTGGAAGGTCTGTAGTCTGGCAGTTCGAAACCTGAGTGCCGTGTGACGGAGTGAGCTCCCGTCTCTAGTTCCAGCTCCTGCCAATCTAGCAGTTTGAAAGCAAGAAACTGCAAGTAGATAAATAGGTACCAATTTGGTGGGAAGGTAACAGCGTTCCGTGTGCCTCGGCATTTAGTCATGCCGGCCACATGACCATGGAAACGTCTTCGGACAGCACTGGCTTTTCGGCTTGGAAACGGAGATGAGCACTGCCCCCTAGAGTTGGATTCGCTACACGTGCACCTTCTCTGAGGCCTGCCGACATACCCTTCGGCTGCCTCCCTGTGAGTGCTTTGCCACCTGTGCTCCCAGCTGCACATGCTGCCTAGCACTGCTGGAGACAGGCATGCAGACGGTGTATGAAGCATCAGCATTCCTGGTGGCTATGGCACTGGCACTCCTAGCTGCACCGAGCATTCACCAGGGAAAGGGCATGCAGGCAGTGTGGGCAGCTGTGACCGCAGGGGGTGGGAGAGCTTGTAAATGGGCAGCGGAAGGATGCACAAGCAGGTGGGTGGGCGGGCAAGAGTGGGGGCCAAGTGGTGGGCATAGGGAGGACCTGGGTACTCTCTGCCCAGGGCCCCCTGGAACCTGATTCGAAGCACTGGTCTGGAGCCCTTCGTGAAGAAATGGGGCTGCCGCAGGTGACTTGGGGGGGGGGGAGAAGTGGCAGGTGGCTGACAATAATGATAGAACCACAGAATCACGGAGCTGGAAGGGGCCACGCAGGCCATCTAGTCCAACCCCCCTGCTCAGTGCAGGACCAGCCTAGAGCATCCCTGACCAGTGTTTGTCCAGCCGCTGCTTCAAGACTGCCAGGGAGGGGGAGCTCACCACCTCCCTAGGCAGCTGATTCCACTGTCGCACAACTCTTTCTTTCAAAAAGTTTTTCCTACGATCCAGCCGGTACCTCCCCGCCCTTAATTTAAACCCATTCTTGCAAGTCCTAGCCTCTGCTGCCAACAGGAGCAGCTCCCTGCCCTCCTCTAAGTGACAGCCCTTCAGATACTTCAAGAGAGCAATCCTGTCCCCCCCCCCAACCTCCTCTCCTCCAGACTGAACATTCCCAAGTCCCTCAGCCTTTCCTCATAGGGCTTGGTCTCCAGGCCCCCAATCATCCTTGTCGCTCTCCTCTGCAGCTACTCTGTTCTGTCCACACTCTTTTTGAAGTGAGGCCTCCAGAACTGCACACAACACTCCAGGTGCGGCCTGAACAACCCATCACTGAAACCAGCAAAGAAACACAGCACAAGTCAAAGCAACAAGAGGTTAAAAGGACCTTTTAACAAAGTCCCTGCAGTATTGTGTGTTGTGCCAGCCTTAAGCACACGGGAGCCCTACAGTGCTGACAGATTTGCACACATGTACCAGTGCGTAGGAGTGCAGAAGACAAACGTGGATTACCAGCATCACAGAGACAAATTTACTTTTTTCACCCATCATTTCTTAAGAGGACAGCTCCTCATTGTTCCCCAGCTGGTAAAAGGAGCCATCTGGTAGCTGAGACTGAAATAAACAGAAGCGCTTCGTTTGGTTTGAGAACTTCCTTTCTCTCTTTTTTTCAAAATCCAACAATATGCTACCACAAGAAGGTAAGACAATGCCTAAAAAATTAATGTTGGGGCTGATGAATATGATAATATGCCACATGCTCTCCACCCCATACCGCTTGGCTCTGAACTATTCCATTTTTCTTTCATCTCGTTTCGCTGTTCTCAGTCTCGTTCGCTTGAAGAGACCATCACAATGTACCCGGGGAAAGGGTTTTGGCAAGGACGAAAAAAGCGGCAATGGGGCGCAGGAGGCACCTGCTGATTTGGACTTCCTGTTCGCTGCACTTCTGGGCCTCGTCTGAATCCATCTTGTGCAGCTGTCCAAGGATGGGGATGCACAGATGGGTCCTTGCAATTGGAGTGAGCGTATCTCCAACCCCAGAACAGATGCACCAGACGGATTCTGAATGGGAACATGACTCCATTCACACATCCCTGGAGTTGTGCCTATGTGTGAATGAAACAGCAATGGATGCATTGCCTCCCTCCTCCCCACAGCTAGGACTCAGTCAGGTGGGGGAAATGCACAATTGGCACTGCTTCATTCACATTCACTTGCAAGCAGTGTGGGATTGTACAGTGGGGAATGGCTCTTGCACATGCATGAACACATACATATTATACTGAGTCGGACCACTGATTTATCCAGGTCCGTATGGTCTACTCTGTCTGGCAGCAGCTCTCCAGAGTCTCAAGTAAGGGTCTTTCACATTGGCAGCGACTTGATCCTTTTAATTGGACATGTCAGAGACTGAACTCAGGACCTTCTGCGTGCAAAACAGATGCTCTGCCACTGAGCCACAGCCTCTGAACTGTGCCTACCCAGAGAAGTGCATGTCAATTACCAGAGAAGTGCGTGTCAATTACCAATTCGTATATTGCTCCCAAGAAATACAACACTTGAATTTATAAACAATTACTACATGATGAATCCTATAGAAAATCATGTGAAGAAGCACAGCTTCTGGTCACTGGAAGCCCCATGCAACCCTGGATGTGGGCAGGACCTCTGGAATAAGTGGTCTACCACCTGTTACAAATGTGATAGAATTCTGCCTCACTTTCTATGGGGGGGGGGGGAAATGGGAGGTTGAATTGGCTCCTGTCAACATGGTAGACTTTGGCCTTGCTTTCTGCCGGATAAAAATGGAAGTCTGAATGGACTGTAACATTCTATGTATGCAGTGAAAGAAGAAGAAGAAGAAGAGATTGGATTTATACCCCGCCTTTCACTTGGAGTCTCAGAGCGGCTTACAAACTCCTTTCCCTTCCCCTCCTCACAACAGACACCCTGTGAGGTGGGTGGGGCTGAGAGAACTCTGACACAAACTGCTCTTTTTCTGCCAGAGCTTGTGACTGACCCAAGGTCACATCAGCAGGTGCAAGCGGAGGAGTGGGGAATCAAACCCGGTTCTCCCAGATTAGAGTCCGCGCACTTAACCACTACACCAAACTGGCTCTCACACCAAACTGGCTCTCTTGCAGAAAGGCAAGATTTGTCCTCAGCCACATATACATGTCATGCAGTACCTCCTGTCGGTTTCACTATTCACCTCCAAATGAAGTAGAGAAACTGCTTACTTAAATTGTCTTCATCTTCCATGTTTGCTGCTGCAGGACTTAAATACTTGAAGGGTGCGATGAAAGTTGACAAAATGCTCACTTTTTCTGAAACGAGAAAACAAAAGCGGGTCCTTGTGAAAGGTGTGCCGACACCACGCTCCCAGCACGGTAACATCTTGCTCAGAGTCCTTCCTTTGCTAAGGCAGTTGGCCTGTTTCTTCGGCATTCTCACTAATTGTACAGGAGACTAAATTGAATTCAGCCCATCTGTAAACAGGCTTATGCTGGTGTAGCGGCCTTAGTGTTCCTTCCTCATTGTTACCCTTGCCTCCCTCCCGCCCCACAACTTCTCTTCCCCCATTGACTTTCCAGCTATCAAAATGCAGAAAGTTTTGTGTTTTCTGTTTTGAGACTCTGAAAAATGACATATATATCAATAGTTGTATAACAGTGGTACGGGAGGGAAGGCAGCATGGTATAGCCCAACCTTGTCAGAAGGGTTGGTATTTGGAAAGGAGACCTCCAAGGAAGACTCCGCAGAGGAAGACAACAGCAAACCACCTTTGCTTCTCACTTGCCTTGAAAGCCCCTATCTGGGGTTGCCATGAGTTGGCTGCGAATTGATGGCACTTCTCTCTCTCCCTCTCTCTCTCTCTCTCACACACACACAGAGACAGAGCAGCGGCAAGCAACCCCCACCAAATGTGCTGAACACATCAGTCCACTTTACTTGGTGCACAGGGCCAGTTCTCCACCCAAGCAAGAGAGAAGGACCCCTGAGGCACAGGTGGCATTGCTAGGGATAGCAGCATGGGAATGTAAGAACAGCCCAGCTGGATCAGAGCCGTGGTCCATCTAGTCCAGCATCCTGTTTCAGAACCAGTTGCTCTAGGAAGCCAACAAGCAGGGCATGGAGGTCAAGGGCGAAGGTGATGGGTATGGCTTATGACTGGACATCACCTCCTGGACCTGCAGAGTTGACGGTGGGGTCCCAGGGCAGGTCCTGGGGTACTTTCAGAACTGCTGGGGCTTGGCTTACTCCATGTTCAAGTACACCATCAATATCTGCACAAGTATCATTGTAATATAATCAATTTATTTCAGAAGAGTAGCCGCTTCAGGCCTGCTGTTGCTAAAACGAGTCCTGTGGCACCTAAAAGACTAACGAAAGAATTGTAGCATGAGCATTTGTGGGCTGCAGTCTGCCTCATCAGATGTATAACAGCAACAGCCAGACTAAGATCCTCTCACGGCTGCACACTGTATGACTTCAGCATATTTCCAAACCAAACTACTGTTTGCATTTTATCTCTTCTGAATTGGACCTCATGAATATAAAGCTCCCCTAATAAAGAGCAGCTGGAAATGCTCTGGGATCTGCTGTCTCATCCATCACCTCTTCTCATCTCACCCCACAATCCCTTCCTTCCACTTTGAAACCCGATGATCTGATTAAAAGATAAGCTGATAGGCAAGAAAAACTAATCCGTGCATCTTTGAATCTTGTGTAAGGGGAGTTGTTTACACGTGCAATTTGGGTGCACATGCAACATTACCATGTTGGTGAAATACCTGCATGCAAATTTTGCCCACAAAGCAATGGAGCACACAGTTTAAATGAGAGCTGGGATGCCTGCTTATGTTTAAGTCTGGCTTGTGGCCTGGTCTAGACAGGAAATGAAATAAAGTGGCAGAAATCTAATGTGACAGAATGGACAGCATGCTGGCGGGAGAGGACATTATTGAAAAGACTCCCTGAAAAACAGCAATGCAGGCAAAGGGAGAGATCCAGTTTGGTGTAGTGGTTAAGTGTGCGGACTCTAACCTGGGAGAACTGGGTTTGATTCCACACTCCTCCACTTGCACCTGCTGGATGTCTTTGGGCAAGCCGTAGTTCTGATAAGAGCTGTTCTTGAAAAAGAGCAGTTTCTGTCAGATCTCTCTCAGCTCCACCTACCTCACAGGATGTCTGTTGTGGGGAGGGGAAGGGAAAGGCCACTCTGAGGCTCCTTTGGGTAGTGAAGGGCAGGGTATAAATCCAATCTCCTCCTCCTCTTCTTCTTCTTCTCCTCTCTATCCTCTATGAATCAGTCAAATCTCCTTTGAAAGCCATCTATGCTTAGAGTTGCCAGCTCTGCATTCTGAGAAATTTAGTAGGTGGAGCCTTAAGAGGGAGGGGTTAGGAGGGGGGTGGGGAAGACCTCAGCCAGGTCTACTGCCATAGAGTCCACCCTCCAAAGCAGCCATTTTCTCCATGGGAACTGATCTCGGTTGTCTGGAGATCAGTTGTAATTCTGGGAGATCTCCAGTCCCCCCCCTCGGGGTTTGGTAACCCTATCTGTACTCATGGTCATATCCACTAGAAGCAAACTCCACAATTTAATTACTTGTTGAGTAAAGAAGTACTTCCCTTCGACATTTTTGAACGCAGTTCTCATTTGTCTAAGTTTGCCAAGATGACAACTACGTCACACTAGCTCTTACTAGAGAGATGCAGGTTGACAACAGCCCTGTAATATTACATGTGGGTCTAACCTGGGCAACTCCTCTTGCAAACAAGTAAATTCACCAATGGTGGCAAATAAAACAGTCCAGGATATAAAAGAAGTTGGGAAACTCTGCACTGTGGTCCACATCTAGGATCATCAGGAGCCAACACCCCCCCCAATACCTTCTCTGGGGCACCCTTAATATAATCCAGTCCCAAAATAAAATTCATATTAAAAAATCACATGACCTATTGGTCCCATAGCAACCAAGGGTGGCCAGAACCCCTGGAATGCTGTCCTCCCATTCCCCCCTCCCTTCAGATTATATACTCAGGTGGCAGGACTGCCTTGGAAGTCTGTAGGATGGGACACTTTCATTGCCACTTTAGGAATAGCCCAAAAATCAACATGAAAAGATGATATATTTTTTTGTCTCAAGCACAATGCGGTCCTAATTTATACAAGGATATGGCTTGGTCAATAAAGATGACAAAGATGGGTGCTCAGTGTTTGAAGCCACTGGCTGATAAATGGAAGATTAAAAACACATTTGGAAGAGCGGTAGTATTCGGGCGGAATTCGGGGTATGTGTGCTTCGGCTCTCAGCGAGAGATCTGAGAAGAGAAGGATTGCAGTGGGTGCTCTGTGGAGACAAATTATTGGCTGTGTGGAGAACAAGAAGAAGATAGATGGGAGGGACATTGAACAGAGGTGTCTGCAGGGCAACAGTCAGTTTGGATAATATCGGAAAGAATGATTATGTATCCTTTGCCATTTACTCTTAGGGTGAAGGCAGAAGTAACATTTGTAGAGCAGTGGGCCAGTTGGAGCTGACGTTACCACATTCAATACAAGAAAGTTTTTTTCTTCAGAGTGAATTTTAGGGGGGATGTCTGCAGGTTTGTATCAAAAAACTGATGCTGGTGCCGACTGTCCAGTGCCCATGCTGCTGTCAAGCAAAACACAGTCCCCGAATCATTCTTGTAACAAGAATATTAAAGGTTTGTAATCTGTCCGTTCAGCAAACAAATGGAATGGGGCCTTCTCTGTTGCTACCAGACCCGAGGGAGCAACCTATTTTCTGCTTGACTAGAGAACTTTTGCTATTCGCTGTACACCCTATCCCTACACTGTGCCATCAGACTTTAGTACACCTGATACACTCAGGCCGTATCCCTAGACCTCCAGGTACCATCTTCTGCCCCTACCAGACACCACCAGGCTCTATTCCTAACCCCTCCTAATAGGGTTGCGAGCTCTGGGTTGGGAAACTCCTGAAGATTTTGCGGGTGGAGTTTGAGGAGGGTGGGGGTTCAGGCAGGGAGGGACTTCAGCAAGGCATAATGCCACAGAGACCAACTTCTAAAGAAGCCATTTTCTCTAGGAGAGCTAATCTATGTCACCTAGAGACTAGTTGTAATTCTGGGAGCTCTCCAGTCACCACCTGGTGATTGGCAACCTTACCTCCTAGTCTGCCAGGGGAGCTCCAAGGATTTGCTCAGGATTCTCAAGATCTGATCCTCAGGACACCTGGCAAACTTCATAAACGAAACCCCACA